GAAATTTTTTCTATCACGAACATGAAGAATGCATTTAATTTAAAAAGTCATTGACGTCGAAACGATTGTGACTAAAATGGAATTATATCAGCTCCTTAGGAGTTCCCAGGAACAGGTAGAACTAATAATTAACTTATTGTCTAAGAGAGGTGAGATCGGTTCGGTCTAAGCTTTTTAAAAAGCTAGATTGGTTCCAAAAAATTCACGAATCAAGCCTACCTAAAACTGTTAATCTAATACATTCGTGAGCTTATGACTAGTGCTAACTCGATTCAGTTCTGTTTGAGTATGTGAGTGTTAGTGTGAAGTGGATATATATATCTGGAGTCTATTTCCACCCGGGTTAGTGAATAGAAGACTCACACCCACTCTTCTCCTAGATAAATGCCCGAAAAAATACACAACAGCTCTTGAATTGTTTTCTCTGCTCAGATTGTTTGTTTGACACAGTTTTCTTGCTGAGTAAAATCTGGCTTTAGGAAGCAACTTACGTCTCAAATAGGTTAACAATAATTCATATAAAAGCTGAAAAAGCTAAACGGACCGATGCTCCCCACTAACTTGCACCGAGAAATTCTTATATAATGAAAAAACGATTTCGAATGAAACTCTCACCGAACGTACGATTCAACTTGTACTATCTCTAGCTGTGACTAGAATCTTGATAAGCATTTCCTAGCGCAAAATAGTCACAAACATAGAGTATTGACTATAGACTAATTTTTAGTCTTTTGATTTCGAATCGCCAGAATGAGTGTACTTAACCCATGATATATCTTATCTTCTAGAGTTTAAAATTCTTCTATTGAATAGTATAAAATAGTTGGATCTTTGGTTCACGATTGATGGAAGTCCATAGTTCATACTAAAAAGCACCATTTTCTATTATGTCACATGGTCATCCACAAGGCAATCTTCATAGTTTTTTTCTTGTCTAGGTATATTGCCGATTTTATTACCGGAAGACATTCTATAGATACGTTTTTCTTTTAAAAGAAAAAACAGCCAAACCGAAATTCCAACTTATGCCAGCTCCATGTGATGTCAGACAATTTTCTCGTGAAGTTACTCTTAAGTGATACCTACGGATTGATTATCAGTGATAACTCATTGATGACTATTAAGAACTCATTAATCATTGCAGATGGCCGTTGATGAGTCAATAATGGGCACTGTTGAGTAATGAATTGTTGCGCAACTCATGACTAGAGTCGAAACGATGGCAATTCGAAAGTACTGGTCAACCGATACTCTAGTTATTTGTGATCATTCAGTAGTTCTTTCAAATTGAAACCCTTACGATTTTATCACAATTTGAAAAAATTTCCTTCACGTAACATGAGTGAGACGTGTGACGCACGACACTACGCTGTGCAGAAGCGAAAAAAAAGTCTTGCAAGATGAAATGCATCGGGAATAGGAATGAAGAAATCAGCTTACGTACTAAACAAGTATTTGTTTCTCAGCCGAATATTCGTAAATTGTGGTCTTAGTTCAGAGCAACTTTCTTAACAAGCGAATGGTAAGCTACTCCATTCCAGCATGCACTTTTATACGTGCCTACATCATTAAAAACAAAATGTAAAAAATTATGAGTCATTATGACGTCGTTTTCTTTTTCAGTCTCTCTTCCAGACGCTTCAGAAGATGGCATACATTGGTTTCTTTGTTTACTCATTCGATTCTCCGAAAAGACTTAAAGAGAAGAGAGAATATGTTTGCTTTCATATTTTCATTTCGTCTTTTTCGTTACTGCACACTTGAGATAGTTTGTGGGCACTTTCTTTTGGCTGCACTATGCAATACATGAAACAAATTCTCAAAGTTGTTTATTGTGGCACGTGAGTTAAAGATATACGCGCAAACATCTGGTCATAAGTTCGAAGTAAACAACTTTGAAAACTTGGTTCGTGAGCTATGAAGATTTGATACAGGATGAAGAGGACAAAGATTCACTACAACTCGTATTGCGACAATATATTTCTCACTATCAAACGAATAATTTTGACAAATATCTCGTTTGATAGAGCATCAAAATCTGCATCTGCTCATGCATCATGAAGTCGGTTCGAAGTTGGATGAACATCGAAAACCTGAGTTTATCACCTTTAGGAATCAGAAAAAAAAACACCATGACGAATTTCAGGCTTATACTCTTTTGATGCACAGCTAACAGTTATATGAGGGTCCAGCAATGTTTGTGATTGAAGAACATCTGACGGATTACGATATTCTCTATGGTGATAAGATGCCACAAAAATAAAAGATTTTTGCCATATGAATTCACTCACGCACTGTGATGCCACTGGATTTACTGTTACTCATGTTTCTCTAGATAAAAAGCCATGGTGAGAGGTGGGCGAAAGATGAGCTTGCAGGTGAAAATAAGAACTACATACGCTCACGGGATTATCTATCTACTCTCACCACATATTCGCCATCCTCGCACTCTCATTCTGAAGTCTTTTCATCAGTGGGTATTATCCAACGAATTGAGACAGGCAATCAGCAATACTTCAAACCATTATTGAAGGAGAATGACGTTCTTTTCATTCGTCTTTCTTACCAATGATTTAACCAGCAAAAAAGATCCGCTCAGTTTTCATAGAAAAAAAATTTCATTCTTCACAAACGAGTGAATGAAAGAGGCGGTAAGAAATATTTTCTTTCCAAATGACGTTTGAATCATTTTCTGTTTCGTGTCGACGACAACTTCTGAGTTAAAAATAGCTGATGCGAATAGTAGAAGAATATTATATTACGTCATCAATTTTCATTCGATCTTTCCAAATAAATACCAAGTGATTCAGGTTTCAACAGGCAGAAAAATCCCTATGTGGAAGAATGCAGAAAGCATACAATAGTTTCAAAGCCTTTTTAAAAGCCTGAATAAAACCAAATGATCACAGTTCTCCTGGGAAAATTTTCTGAATGGCATCATCTCGTATGAGAATAGGAAAATGAAGAATAAGAGTTGGACAGGCTCTAGGATAGCATGGATGAGGGTAATGTCTGCTCTTCATTCATAATTCACTCCCATATCCACATCTACATCCATCCACACTACACTCAAAAAAGTGGGCTAGGAAACCAATGGAATTCAATAATATGAAAAATTCCTTGACATTAGGGATGTCGCATTAGAATTAGCATTTATTATTACTAATACAAATGATTTAACCATTAGTGCTGCATTTAGCCATACCACTTTGGTATTATTTGCATTAGAATTAATTAATGCCAAGTTGTTAGCATTACATTAACATCATTTCAAATTCTATTACATAGATGACGAACGACTAGATATTGGTTATTCTAAGCTCAGAAATTCCCAAATTCGAACAATTTTATTCTTTTTTGGGAATGGCGTTTACGAGTGTAAAAACCTTTCTTCTGTTATCGAAAACTTTCGAAGATGAACGTTCAGAGGTATAATCACTGGTAGCAATTGTATTATAATTAAAAATTATATTAGTATAATGCTAACAGCTTGGCTTTGACCAATTCTAATACGAATAATACCAAAGATTTGAGGTTAATTTTAATACTAATGCTATGGTGATCTGGCACTCCAACTAATGAACAATATGATTGCTGGCCATTATCAACAAATAAACTGATTTCTTCTCCATACTAACTAATTGCATGTTGTATATAACGTCATTTCAAATATACATAAAAACAATTTTTATTTTTTATTAATAAAGAATATAAGAATATATATTTATTATAAAATAGGCGTTTCATAAATTATAAAAAACAAACAAAACAAAAATCGATACATGTTATACTAACTCATATATTAAACTATTCAGAGGCCTTTTGATTGATTCTCATTATATGACATGATGTCGAAGCAAAATGTAGTAATTATGAAAAGCATCCATTATGAAATGTGTAACATAGTAAACTCACTCAGTTGACAGAATATGTCTTGCAAAATTCATTCGGTTTATCGTTTCAGGCGAGAACGATAGAAAAATGTCCAAACTCTCCTGTTCTGTTTAGATTCATGTTCTTTCTATATTTCCTTTCCAATAGTGTCAACACATAATATAAAGATAGACTATACTGTGTACACGAAGACGAGTCTGGATTGCGACTCTTCAGGAGATGCTACTCACGCCCATGCCGTGTTACAAATATAAAAGGTTAGTTACGTGGGTGGATTCTTTTTAATTTTTGAATAATTAAATTCAATTTTTAAGTTTGACATATATAAGAGATTCGGGCGTATTGAATGAACATATAGAAAAGGACGTACAAAAAAAGGATGTATACAAAGATGTACAGTATGGATGTATAAAAAAAAGGCGTAAAGCAATTGCTTGAGATTAAAATAGTTTGATAAAGATAAAATTTCGTTTGCTATAAAGAGTTTGATAATTATTTTTAAAAGATGCACGAAAAGCTGACGATGACCGACTTATTCACAACTAGAAAAGGTCGAAACATCCTTGTTTAATAACTAAACATATATTTTCACTGCATAGACAATTTTCTAATATAATTTGATGAATCTTGAAAACTTTTAGTCTTGATTAAGAAGCTAATAAATTTTTGATAATTAATATAAATCCGAGCTTTGCTCGATAGTTCGAGGTTTTTTTTTCCCACTTCTTTTCAATATTGTACGATTTGTGAATACGACAAAAACAACGAGTTGCTTGACTATATGTTGGAAATATAAATGAATTTTTTAGTTTCGCTCTGTTTTTTATTGTTCTATTTTACATCATGAAAACATGACAACCGCCGCGGTAAATAAATTATAAATTTATTTTCCTATTACTTTTCATTACTTTTTCACTATTTCGATTCTATTTCATTCACATAAATGAAATATTAATTCGATGGCGTCGTCTTTTGTCTTCTCGTCTACGTCCTCGGTTAAATCCTCTTCACTGCGATCAACTCGTGAATTTCTTGTTCGTACAAAAACATCTTCCGCCGATATAAATAAATATGAGAAAGTGATTACATTGCGTATATTTGATGATATGAATCATGCAAGTGAAGAAATTATTTTGAAAAAATCAGAATCACAAAATCAATCACTCGAAAACAAGAATATCAACGTATTCCATGTTAGAACTCAACAAAAATTAGGCGAAACAATACGAAAACTTAAATTACATACGACAAGCATAGTCAACTCACAATCTACAAATGATAAGAACAAACGAATTTTTTTGAAATGGATTGAATTGACTGATTTGAATACAAAATGTAACTTTTGCTTTCCAGTCGAGGATTATTTACCATCAAGTCCTGGTGATGCATTAGAATTGACTGAAGTTCATCAAGATAGTATCTGTGAAGAGAACAATCAACAAGAAGTCAATAAGAAATATTCTGATGTAGAAAAAGGTATGGTGGAAAAAGAAAAAAAAAGAAAAATATCGAAAAGAAAAACATTGAAAAGAGATATAGGAAAGAAGAATATCGAAAGAAAGTCATCGAATAGAAAAATATAGAACGAAAAAATTCCCAAAGAAGCATATTGAACAGAACAATATCGAAAAAGGAGTGTGTTGAATCAAAAAGATGTAATTTTTATATTAATTGAAAATGAATAGCGTCAGAAATAAAACTAGTAAATAAAGAAATAAATTAGGGTAATGCACGGTACTCATCTTCAATGGATTATGTAATAATTAACCAATGAAGATTTTTTTTTTTTTTTGAAAGCCAATATTTGTGGCAAAAAGCCTAATGAAATTGCATCTACAATGCAGTAAACATAGATACAACAACTCTCGTTGTGTGAATGGATAATAAATTATGTTATTTTGTTAGTTTCTAGCATTTCAAAAATTGGGGAGCCGAGAGTAATAGGTATATGAAATTGTCTTGGATTATTCAATAAATAAGTGTGAATAAGGAATTCTTCAATCAAAAAACAAGAATATGCAATTACCTATCTCGGCTCATGACAGTTGAAATGCGATGGTTAATTATCTCAAATATAAGCTTAACGAATCCATGTCAGATACTTAGATATCGGGAGAATTTTTTTAACATTCTTTTACTGGTCTTACAACGTTCGATTTTTCATTTCCTTAGATTCAATTTGATAGTCGCTAGGATTTCATTTATATACCTATTTGAATTTGACACACATCTCCCATTTTCATATCAATGGCAATCTATTGTACTTAATGGTTTTGTCTAGTTTAAATATGGACTCTGTTCGTCATTAAAAAGGGTTTTTCTTTTTGTTAAAGAAAATTGATCGAATTAGAGAAAGTAGCCATTTTATTTGCAATAAGCAAAAACAATTGACTCTTCTTGAAGTACTACCGTATTCGTCAATAAAATGTTTCAAAACGGATTTATTTCAACAGTTGGTGTATGTTCAAAATTTCAAAAGTAGAAATACAAAAGAGAGCGATCCTACTAAAAAAAATTAATGTTTTTATTTATCGCATTCAAACGGTCGCTTGGTATTAATGTCTTCTTTTCTAATTCTTCGCCTTCGACTTTTTTTTTGACATTGTTCCTTTCGTTATTTTTCTTTCTATATTTTTGTTTTTGTTCTTTTCCCATTCGATATTTTTCTTTTCGACATTTCGTTTTATTTTTCTTCGATATTTTTCCTTTCTGTCGTTTTCCATCCATTCTAGAAAAAAATCGAACAGAAGAAAAAATCACTAATATTCAATCAAATGATCACTTACAGTCTATTCGTAATACAACAAACTCATCTGAATTATATACTAATAAAGAAAATAAAGCTGACAAGACATTTAATGCACAATTCATTATTACAGAAGATAAATCAAAATATGCCAAATTATACGATATTCGAACAAAAACTGCACATCAAGGATTTTTAGGCATTAAATCATTAATGAAAGCTAATGTCTATGTAAAATTATATGATATTCATCATCAATCATCTGAATCGATTCCTCTAACAATATCTAGATTACATGAACGACCATTTCGATCAAATCAAACAGATCAATTTCAAGTTGGTACAATTATTAAACTTGGTCCATTAAAAAAAGTTGAAATTTGGCATGATGGAAAGAAAGGAACACGATTACATTGTGATACACTAGAAATAACTGATCAAAGTAATGGACAAATATATTGTTTTCAAATCAAAGGTGAGTTTATCATTGATTATTCTAATATAACTATTGAGCGATGTACTTAGAATATCTTGATAATGATACAAAACTTATTTTAACCGATTACGATAATCGACGATGCCTTGATATTCATTCGGAATATGAAAAGTTGTCAACAAAAGATGCTATTACGTATCAGAACAAAGATGATGACCTATCAATATTATCGAATACTGTACAAATAAAAAGTCAATTATTACCAGCAACACAGCAAAAGACATCATTAACAAATTTGAGTAGTGCTATAACAAGTGTTGTGAGTTCAAATACTCATATGATTCAAACTTTATTTAAAGTACGAACAAGAGGTTAGTCAACAAAACTTTATTTCCCACCAAAAAATACTGTACAGCATTTGTCATGAATCTTATAGTTGGTCACAAAACTCTTCTTTCTTTGGGTTTGGGTGGAACAGATTTTCAAGTTTATATACGTATACATGAAGGTGAAAAAGTTACAGAAGATATATTATTAAATAATTCTTTGACACACAATAATCCATTTGAATCTGGCCATATAGATGTATTTGAAATAGGTGTACCACAATATATTATATCACCAGATCGAATTGAAATATTTCATAAGGGAAAAAAACATGATGGTCTTTATTTGAAATGGATTGAAGTTATGAATATGAATACATTAGAACGAAAATGGTTAGAGAATCTATTTTTCTATCATATCTTATAAATCATTTGATTATTTTGTTGTAGTTTTCCTGTCAATCGATGGCTCGAGTTAAATGAAGATGATAAAAAAACACATATTATGTTAAGAGATTTTATTGTAAATGAATCATGTGAAGAAAATGAATATCGTGAACATCATTCACATGATCAATATAAAACTGAATATGTTATTAGAACTAAAACAAGTTTAAATCAACCAATAAATAATAGTGATACTCATGCAAATATTTATTTGAAAATATATAATGATAAAAAGAAATATACAGAAGATATGTTATTAAGTCATTCAAAACATCACACAAATCCATTTCGAGCAGGAAAAATTGATAAATTTGAAATTGGATCAATTCATTTGATGGATGATACTATTGATAGAATTGAATTATGGCATGATAATACATCCAATTTTGATTGGTTCTGTGAATGGTAAATATTGAAAATGTTTTTAGAACATATTTATTAAAAAATTATTCATTAACATAGGATTGAAATAAAAAATAAAAAAACCGATAATATAAAATGTTTTGGTGTTAATCGAATTTTATCACGAAAATCATCTGATGGTACAACTAAAATTGTACTTACTATTCATTCACATTATCCATGTGATAAAATTGAACGTGAATTACATAATTTAGCTAACACTGTAGGTATTCAAGATCGATATTCTCATATCGATAAAATACAATATATTCCTCAACGATATTATCATTCACCGAATAAACATGATTTTACTAAAAAATATATAATAACAATAAAAACAGGAAATAAAACAATATCAGGAACTGATATCAATGTATTTATTCGTTTGTATGATGATCAAAATCGTCAATCAGAAGATATGTTACTTGAACAAACAGTAACAAATAAAATTCCATTTCAAAAACATGCTGTAGATGAATTTCACACTGGTACATTAAATAATTTATCAAATTTACAAAAAGTTCATTTATGGTATACGGGTGAGAAAAATGAAGGATGGAATGTTGAATGGTTACAAATCGAAGATATTGATATGAATCATCTTTATTGTTTTCCTGTGGTAGGATTAAGAAGTTATATTGATTTGTTTCCGAATTCATTGATTTTTTGAAGAATAAATGGTTTGATTCAAATTCAAATGATAGAACAACTCATATCGTACTCACAGAATTCACTGTGAATGAACCTTGTTCAAGATTATCTAGTCAAAAGGGTGAGAAAAATAATCAACTATTACAATTCAAACGATCATATCATGTTGAAACTAAGACTGGAACAAAAGGATTTCTCCGATTATCTCCTACAGGTAGATATACATCAAATTATCAGTATCATTCCTATTTTATTTATTTACTCGTTATATGAAAGGTACAAATGCAAAAGTATATATGAGAATTCATGACAAAAATGGACAAGTATCTGAACCCATTGAACTTCATCAATCTATTAATCATAAGAATAAATTTGAACGAGGACAAACAGATGAATTCGATGTTGGTATGTTAATAAAACATATTATATTTAAATACTAGATTACATATTTTCATTGAATATTAGGCTCCACTCAATCACTCGATGGTGTTGATAAACTCGAATTATGGCATGATGATACTGGTATTGGACATGGATGGTTTGCTGATTATGTAGCTGTCATCGATAATAAAACTGGTGAAGAAGCATGTTTTTTTATTGGAGAATATTTAAACAAGCAGAATGGTGGAATCGAAGAAAAACATCTCATATTAGATAAACAAACACTAGATAATCGACCATGTCGTGATCATAAGTTTGATGTAAATGAATCAACAATTCAAGAAACTGTAGCAACAGGAAGTCCACCAACACCATTTACACAAACATACCGTATTGAAATAAAAACAGGTATAACAAAACATATGATACAAATCTTTAAAATGGCGGAGCTAACGCGGCTCAATTTTTTCGGATTTATTAGATTTAGCTAGACTAATCTATTGATAATATACAATAGATTTGAACTGTATCAAGAGAAAAACATAATTCTGATATGTCAGTCTACATTTTTATCTGGTTGTCTGCTCAATGTGTTGTTCTCGCTCTAACTCAAGTACCTACTCCCAACGTAATGCTCCTCATTTCATGATAGGATGTATAGCGAGATTTATAGAAAAATCTAAAAAAACTACATATTAAAATCATTCTAATCTTGTTTTCATTAACTATTTTAACTCTCTATTGATAAAGAGATCTATCAATGATAATCTATAAACAAATTTTAATCATACACATAGGTCATACTGGTCTTTTTGGTTTGGGTGGAGCAAATACAAATGTAAATGTATTCATTCGTATTCATGATAATAATGATAATATGTCTGAATCACTTCAACTTAAACATTCGTTAAAACATAAAAATAAATTTGAAAGAAATCAAACTGGTAAAAAAATATTGATCAATATATTTGATTTTTCAATAATTAAATCTTTTTGTCATAATAGACCAATTCGATGTAGGCACTCGTAAAAGTCTTGATGGTGTTAAAAAGGTCGAATTATGGCATGAAAGTGATAAAAACGAAGGATGGCAAGTGGATTTTATTCAAGTAATAGATAACAAAACAGGAAATTCCTACTGTTTTTTTATCAATGCCATGCTCAATAAAAATTCTGGCTTAAAAAAAACTCATGTTTTACTTCAATATCCATCAATAAATGTTTCATGCTTGGATGAACTACAGGCAATGAAACAAATGCATAATACCACAACAATAAACATGATTAATTCTCAGAAGAATGATAAAATTGAAAGAAATTTTACGATTAGAACTAAAACAGGTAATTAAATTATGTTGAGAAAATCAGCTCCAATATTATTTCATTTCTAAAATTTTCTATTCTTAACTAATAAATTTTGGATAGGTAATCAAATAGAAGCTGGTTCGACAACACCTATTCATATTCAATTGTTCGATGATCAAGATCAAAAATCTGAAGATATACGTCTTAAACATAAAGATCATGATAAACATAATTTTGAACCGGGTGCTATTGATGAATTTCAAGTTACATCTTTTCAACCACTCTCTAATAAACTCATAGGTATCCGTGTTAAACATAATGCTGATAAATATCAAGGATGGTAAGTAAGAAAAAAAATAAGATAATTGAATTTATATTTATGCTGTTTCATGATGATGGTTCACTGTTCATACAATGATGTTTTCCTTTACTATTTGTTTTATAGGTATGCTGAATGGATCGAAATTACAGATGAAGATAATATACAAACCTATTGTTATCCTATTCAACGATGGCTTGATAAAGCTGAAAATGATAAACAAACTGATATATATTTCACGGATGTTTCTGATGTACCATGTGATTCATTACTAGATACAATGCCTCAATCAGGTCATCGATCTATACCAACTATTCGAGGAACACCTGTCGGTACTGTGTCATCGTTAACATATCTATCACAGACGTCAGCTCAAACATTAGTTACATCTTACAAAAATACTTATCATGTGAAAACTAAAACGGGAAAGAAAGGTTTTCTAGGTTTTTCACCAACAGGTAAGAATGAATGGTTATTTCTTATATTGTTAATATGATAAATTTCAAATATAGGAACGAATGCAAAAGTTTTTTTACGAATTATTGATAAAAATGGTGATGTATCGGAAAATCTTCAATTACATGGTTCAACTGATCATAAAAATAAATTTCAACGAGGTCGAACTGATGAATTTGATATTGGGACAAGCAAACAGTTAAATGGTATTGATCAAATTGAATTATGGACAGATGAAAAAGGTTTGGGTAGTGGATGGTTTCCTGAATACATCCAAGTAACTGACAACAAGACAGGTGATATTGCTTGCTTTCCTGTCAATCAATATTTAAATCATAAGAATGGTGGAATTGAAGACAATCCATTAAGATTGAAAAGAGTAATAGATGAACGATCTTGTCAAGAATCAATCGAAGATAGTAATGATATTGATAATGAATCCGAAGAACAGATGTTATCTTCTAATGTGAAATTTTCCGCTTTATCAAGTAAATACAAGAATACATTTTCAGTAATAACTAAAACTGGTCATGTCGGTCTCGGCTCTACTAGAACTCATACGTGAGTTTAATTTGATGATTATAATTAAATTTGAAATAAAATATTATTCTTAGTCCGGTATTTATTCGTTTACATGATATTAAAGGCAAAATATCTGAAGCAATTCAATTACAGAATTCTATTAGACATACGAACAAATTCGAAAAAAATCAAACTGGTAAGATATAGGAAAGATATCAAGTTTTCTTATATAAACATATCTACTTGTATTTTTCTCCTGTGTTTCAACAAAATATCTACCCAGAAAAAAAAATGTTGTTTCGTAAATTAGATTTCATTTTCAATTAAAATGCATATTATGGTTATACTTTCACCTTAGATCAGTTTGATGTTGGAATTTGTGAATTGCTTGAAGATATTTCACGAGTCGAACTTTGGCATGAAAATGATAAGAACAATGAATGGCAACTTGAATATATACAAATAATTGACAATCAAACAAATACATCTTATTGTTTTCCTGTTAATAAAATGCTTGATAAAAATTATGGTTCAAAACAAACTCATATCTTACTTGAAACACCATTGATTAATATATCATGTTCCGATCAAAGTCAAGTAGTACAAAGAAATCGAATGAATACAGATATGACTATTTCGAAGAAGAAAAACGATAAATATGTACGAAACTTTACTATTCGAACAAAGACAGGTAAAATTCTTGAATGATAGATATTTTTTTTTGAGTCTAGTGATCAATTATTCTTCAAAAAAAAAAGGTAATCAAATAGAAGCAGGTTCGACAACACCCATTCATATTCAATTATTCGATGATCAACAACAAAGTTCAGAAGATATTCGTTTGAAACATCACAATCATGATAAACATAATTTTGAACCTGATGGTAAGTTATTTGAAGAGAAAAATTTTTCATAATACATGAATTCTTTATCAATTGATCATAGCTATCGATGAGTTTCAAGTAATATCTCATCAACCATTATCAAATCAATTAACTGGTATTCGTATTAAACATAATGCTGATAAATATCAAGGATGGTAAGATTAATTATTTTTTTTCGAAAGCAATTTTTTTCTTTGATGATATTGTTGTTTTTGTTTGAAGGTTTTGTGAATGGATAGAAATCATAGATGATGATAACGGAAAAATCTATTGTTATCCAATACAACGATGGCTTGACAAGTATATTGATTCAATTATTCATTTAAATAGTTCGATAGTCCATGTACTTGTTTTTGTAGAGCAGAAAATGATAAGAAAACTGATGTGTATTTTACTAATTTATCAGATGTTCCCTGCAGTTCTTTACCTGATACAATGATGGAATCAGGTCATCATTCAGTTCCCGTTATTCAAAAATCACATATATCACAATTATCGTCGGAAATATCTTCTATACCATTTCAAAATACATATCGTAAGCTATTACCAGCATTTGAAATCTATCGATTTAATTATTATCTTATCAAATAGATGTAGAAACAAAGACGGGAAAGAAAGGTTTTCTTGGTTTATCATCTACTGGTGAGTATCGTTATTACATAGAGTATTCATACAAAAAACAAAATACAACATATTTTTTAAAGGTACAAATGCTAATATATATATTCAAATTATTGATCGTAATGGAAATAAATCAGAACCAATTCAATTGAAAGCATCTATTGATCATAGAAATAAATTTGAACGTGGTCATATTGATGAATTCGATATTGGTATGTAATTTTCTCAATACTTCAAATACAAACTAAAACATATATACATAAATATATTGATAGGCGTCACAAAATTACTCAATGGTATTAACCAGTTAGAAATTTGGACAGATGGAAAAGGTTTAGGACATGGATGGTATGCTGATTATGTTATTGTGACAGATAATAGAACAGGCGAAGAAGCATGTTTTCTAATCGGTGAATATTTGAACAAGGAAAATGGTGGTGTAGCTATTAATCATCTTATATTGGATAAGCTGACAGGCAATATTTCATGTCGTGAAAGACATCGAAAACAGGAAGATGATCTTGATACTATTCGAACACGTCAAATTGAAGCTATTAAATCAATCATAAGTTCTTCAGACGATTCTTCATCTACTATTGTCTACAAAAGAACTTATCATATTGATACAAAAACAGGTACATGTGTTGATATTAATACAGAAATTCATTTTTTGGAATGTGCACAGCTCATATTTAAAATATTAACTCTACATTCATTGACATTCATCAATGTAAAAACAAGAAAATTTTTTCATGATTTTTTTCAGCTTCAACTGTTGTAATTTCTTGATTTCTTAAACATGTATTACTTTTTGAAGGCAGTAAGATTTGTTTTGTCTTACGAATTTAAGCATGAGAGGGCAATCCACTTGCCATTAGGATTTGATGAAAATTTTTAAAATTAACATGAAACAGTGTTCAATTTTTCGTTGAGAATTTTGCATTAATTATTCTCTTAAAATTGATTTTATATTTTAGGTCGTAAAGGATTTTTGGGTCTATCTCCAACTGGTACTAATGCAGATGTCTATCTACAAATTCATGATAAATCGGGTCATATATCCGAACCAATTTCTTTACGTTGTTCAACAAAACATTCAAATCCATTTGAAAAGGGCAAAACAGGTTCACAAAAAAAAAACAAAATAAGAAAAACTATCATAATGAACCGATGTTTCTAATAATTTTAGATTCATTTGATGTTGGTACAAAAGAATCACTCGATAGTATTGCTAAACTTGAGTTATATCATGATGGAACTGATCTTGGTCATGGATGGAATGTAGACTATGTCAATATTCTTGATAATACAACGGGACATAATTATTGTTTTCCAGCTAATAAATGGCTTAGTAATTCTGAACATTTAATATTAGATAATTATGTATCGAATGTATCATGTGAAGAAGTAATTAAAGAACAAATGGAAGCAAAGATTGATACAAATAATATGAAAACCAAACAGAAACGTAGTTTTACTGTACAAACTAAGACAGGTAAAAAAAACAAAAAAAGTTATAATTTGTATTAGTTTATTATTTCCTCTCTTAAGGCTCGCAAGTGGAAGCTGGTTCGACAACACCAATTTATATACGTCTTTTTGATAATCATTCTCAAAAATCTGAAAAAATTCGTTTAAAACAAAAAGATAAGGATGGTCATCATTTTGAACCAGGTTCAATAGATGAATTTCATATAACATCCGATAAACCATTGAATACATTAACCGCCATTGAAATTTCACATAGTGCTGATAAATATCAAGGATGGTAATTTATAAAAATAGATTTAAATAATGGATGATTGGAAAGTTTTTAGACAAGATGTTTTGTTCAATTTTGACTCACTACAAAGTAGTTCCAACAAGTCAAAAACTATAAGTGACGAGCAAAGTCCAAAAAATTACAGTGAATAGAAAATTTTTATATTTTCACTATTGCAATTCGAAATTAAAAGTTCGCATCTTCATTTATATATCAGTTTGTAGATCAGAAGCTACCCTACAAAGTGCATTATTTGAAATTATTTTTGTTTTCCCTCAAAACTCATTTTTTCAAGAATCAGCAACCATTTTACGCTGAAAGGAGCTCTTGAAAAAATGCTTGTAACCTCACTTGGATAAAAGCTATAGCTTAGTTCAATATCACATTTAGTAGAGAACTGTTCACTCTACAAAATGACTAACTCCCACAATTTTTAGCATGTTCGAAGAGGTATATAAACATATTGACTCGTCGTTAAACACAATTTTTCAGGTCTTTCGAAAAGTTCTTCACTGCTCTTGAACAAAAATAGATGCAATATGTCTAAGCCCATACTCAAATTCTGGTCACGACCTATAGTTTTTGGCTCGTCTGAAATGCTTTCAAATAGGTCAAAATGAATGAACATATTCACCAGAAATGTCGACCCATAAGTTCCGCTCAAACTAATTCTTTTTTTAGGATTTACCAAGAGTTATTCCACTAATCGTAAAAAAAACCTGAGACAAAATTTCTAAGCGCACAAAATTCTAGTCATAACTCATAGCTTTTAACTTGTCAGAAATACTTCCTAGTGAGTCAAAACTGAACAAATATCTTGTCTAAAAATTTTCCGCTCATTCGACCTATAAACATATTTGGTCTAATTTTTTCAGGTATGGTGAATGGATATCAGTAACTGATAATGATGAAAATGAAACATACTGTTTTCCCTTACAACGTTGGTTAGATAAAGGAGAATTAGATGGAAAAACTGATATTTATTTAAAACATATTCGTACAATGATTCCTTGTGAACAATTATCTGATACAATGAAACGACAAAGTTTATTACTAAGTAGATCTATTCAAAGTTCAACAATAAAAAATATTGTAGAAGGATATAAATCATTATATCATGTACAAACAAAAACAGCAAAAAAAGGTCTTTTGGGATTATCACCAACAGGAACTGATGCAAATGTATTTATTCGAATTCATGATAAAGATGGCAAAATATCTGAACCACTTGAACTTAAAAATTCTATTGATCATAAAAACAAATTTGCTCGTGGAAAGATAGGTAAAATTCATAACCTAAATTCAAATTGTTAGATTTTTCATCGATATTATAGATGATTTCGATGTTGGATCAATCCATGAATTAAATAATATCGATAAACTTGAATTATGGACTGATAGCAAAGGCATTGGCAATGGGTAAATATTTTCTTATTTTTCATTCTATAAATTTTTTTCATAGATGGTATCCAGAATACATTCAAATAACAGATCAAAGGACAAATGAAGTTAGTTGCTTTGTTATTGAACAGTACCTGTAAACATGCCAATCGTTGTTGTTTTCTCAATGTTTATCTTTTTTTCTTTTTGCTGTAGAAATGAAAAATATGGTGGATTAAAGAATGATCATTTAATATTAGATAAACAAAAAGATAATCGACTATGTCATGAATTAAAGAAAGATGATACAATCAATTTATATGATAAAAATTATGATCAAGCCAAACAAAATTTTCTTTCCAGCGTAGAATCTCAAGGAAGATTTCAAGTTGAAATTAAAACAGGTAAACAGTTTTCTATGTTTTCTTTTATAATTCTATTTGTAATATCATAAGGTCATACTGGTTTTTTGGGATTGGGTAGTGCTGGAACTGATGCATCTGTATTTATTCGAATTTATGATAGTAATGATCGTAAATCTGAAGCATTTCAATTGAAACATTCGACCAAACATAAAAATAAATTCGAACGAAATCAAACAGGTCTTCAAGAAAAAAAGAATATTGCATCTATTCTGATTATATTTTGTCTTGAATTTTTCTAGATCATTTTATTGTTCATACTGACGAACCATTTGATAGCATTGCTAAACTTGATTTATGGCATGAAGGTAATAAAAATGATGGATGGCAAGTTGATTATGTTAATATTATTGACAACAAAACAAATACATCTTATTGTTTTCCGGTAAATACAATGCTTGATCAAAATTCTGGTTTCAAACAAACAAGTATTCATCTTGAAAATCCATTAATTAATATATTTTGTAAAGAAGAAACTGAAGCAATTAAAAAAAGTCATAGTTATACATCAATATCAAAAAAACTTAAATCAGATAAATTATCTCGAAATTATACTGTTCGAACAAAAACAGGTATTATTCAAATATAATCTATTATAATTTTATTAAAAAAGAAATTATTTAATATTTTATCATTATATAGGTAATCATGCATCAGCTGGTTCGACAACACCTATACATCTTCAATTAATTGATATATATGATAAAAAATCGAAAGATATTCAATTAAAGAAAAAAGATATGGAAGGTCATCATTTTGCACCTGGTAATATTGATGAATTTAAATTCACATTACCTGAATCATTATCAACATTAAAAGCTGTTAAACTTTCACTTGATGCTGATAAATATCAAGGTTGGTATGGTGAATGGATTTCAATTACCGATGATGATAATCAAGTGAATTATTATTATTATTATTATTATTATAATTTTCTTATTCTTCACTGTTGATTATTTCTTCTATTAGGAAACCTATTGTTTTCCGATTCAACGTTGGTTAGATAAAGGTGAACATGATCATAAAACTCATGTTACTCTATATCAACAATCTACTATTCCGTGTAATCAATTATCGGATTCAATACTTATTCGATCTTCATTAATGAATAATGAAGATAATGAACCATCAAGCAATAGTGAAGGAAATATTAAAGCATCTATCATAAGTTCTTTATCATTAGATCATCAATATGAATATATTAGTCCTCATGATTTTCAAGTACATACGAAAACAGCTGATAAATCATTACAAGGCAAACTTGGACGTGATGCTAATGTTTATTTAAATATCTATGATAAAAATAATAAACAAATCAGTAGTTCCATACGACTTCAAAATTCTAAAAATCATAAAATACCATTTCAAAGACATCACACTGATAAATTTCATATAACAATACCAAATATAAAAATTAATAATATTGATCGAATCGATTTATATCATGATGGACAAAATGATGGGTAATTAAAAAAAAAATTTAAGATTTTGTTCTATGAAACACGATCTAAAAGGAGTGTTGAAGTATATCGACGAGAATGACATCCATCCTTGCACGGATACTGTAGAAATGGTTCATCAGTGACGTGACAGACATTGTTGATATACGATCAAAGATCGTCTATCAATAAGATCTCGTTATAATCTACGAATTACTTTCTTATTACATCTGTGGAAGATTCAGTAAAAGGATGGTGAAGAAATATATCTCAAAATAGATAGAATAAAATGAACTCTCTGTGATTAGCAGCAGCAGTTACATTGTGTTGCACATTTTAATCTCTCAGAAGTTGTGCTAACAATTTTTCTTTATAGATGGCTTTGTGATTTTGTTGAAATCAAAAATCCTCAAACAAATGAAACAAAATGTTTTTCTGTTCATCAATGGTTAGATAAAGTATCTGATGATAGAATTCAATTTTCAATGACTAATTATCAAAATATTTCATGTGATGATAAACAACATGCTACAAATCATCATTATTATATTGTACGAATTAAAACAAATACAACAAATTTAACATCAAATGATTCAGTGAATATATTCATTAAACTCTTTGGTAAATCTCATCAAACAGAACAAATTCAATTAGATCAAACAATTGATAATAAACAAGCATTTCGACGAAATAATTCTATAGATATATTTGAAATACGAACATCGACTAAATTAAATTCACTTCAAAAAATCGAATTTTTTTATGAATTTTCATCAAATAATAGAAAATTTTCTATAGAATGGATTGAAATAACTAATTTATTGAATGGTATTATTTCCTGTTTTCCAGTTAATCGTATATTAACACAATTAGATATTAACAGAGGAATGCAACAAATATTAACTTTGAATGAATCAAATAATAAACCTTGTTCTTATTAAATCATTTCAGTTTTCTTTCATTTGGTTTTTTTGTTTTTTTGTTAAAATCATTTATTTTTATTTAAATAAGCGAATAAATTAATTTTATTTTACTTCAGTCTGAATTATCAGCATCAAATGTCATATGAATAAGATTTGATCGACAAACATCAGCTTGAATAGGAGTCATTCGAGCATAAAATCCATCAGGATTTTGATGAAATGCATCAAATAATTGTTCGCCAAGTGCATCTAAAACTTTTTCATAAACAATTGGATATCGTTCAACAAAAGTATGAAGAGTTAATGATGCTTGACGTTGACTTTCTGGATAAGCTTCATTACCCATCACACATAATAATAAATGAACAACATTTAAACGTAAAAATCGATAATGTTGATCGACAAGTAAACGAATACATTTACATGCAGCTGCTTGTTGAATATAAACTGGCATTGGACCACCTTTAAGTGAATCAATTAAATCATTAGTTTCATCATCATCATTATCAGTTCTATCTTGATTTGGTGGATCTTTTAAACAAGCAACTAATTGTTCAGCTAATGCTGATACAATATTATCATCATTCCATTTATTTGACATAAGAATTTGTATAAGTTCAATAGCTTGATATTGAACTTCAGCATGAAAAGATTGAAGAAGATTAATAACTGGTTCAAGTAAACTTCTATGAACTTGTTCTAATTGAGGTTGAAGTTTACATAAAAGAGAAGCAGATAATTCTTGAGCTTTAGGCGATGTTGATAGTAAAATAGCAACGAGACCTTTATAGACTTGTTGTGTATATGTTGGATTTCCATGTGCTAATGAATCAAGTAATGATTGTGCTGATTTCTGTGTATTTTCATTTGTTGTTGTCTTAGCCATACATTCAGCTATAGCTCGAATACCATATGATTGACAAATTAATTCTTTATATATACGACCATTATCAGCTATTAATTTTAATAATTGCAACTATATAAATTTCAAAATAAGACTTTCGAAAAAAAAACAAATTACAGAATGGTTTATAAATACCTTTAAGATAAAAACTTTGAATATCTCAATTCTGTTCCACTCTATGGAGGCTAATTTTTTTTTTCTTGTATACAGGAGAAATCAGAGATTTTCTCTTAAGTACAGGGGTTCCCAAAATTATAAGACCCCCCTACAAGTTTGAGAATAATAAAGTTTTCAGCAACTAAAGAAGCTTTGATAAGGGATCTAACGCCATATATATAGATACCGCTAAAGCATCTATCATGTGCTACATTGATCTCTATTTGGTTAAATATTAATAATATTTAGATTCAAGAAATTTTGAATTTCACTCGTTGCATAATTATAAGACCCCCCTCTCTGGAGTATAAAAGTATTGCCTGAATGTTCATTTTTTTAAGTCAAAAACAATCTTGTCAGTATCTGTTCGAAAGAGGAGATAATTAGTTATCTACTGAAAAAAATATGGACTTATATAAGCTATACTTTAACTTTTCTATGGTCGAAGAAATGAAAGGGTGGAAAACCTATATCCCACAATAACCCTATTTTAGCTCAAAAAAAAAGGTTTCCAATTGTTTAATGTAATAAAACTAGATTTAAACTATACCATTAGATAGAGCATTAAAAGTTGTATAGTCCACATATTTATTGACAACAAACTTTGAAGACATTAATAATTGTGAAAAGGGAAATAAAGATAGTCAAGATAAGGTATTTTGTAAGGAGCTTATGAAAAAAAAATTTATTTTCATATAAAAACCAGACGTATTTTTTTTTTCAAGGGTACCATAAGAAAGAGCGTCAAATTCTACACCAACCAGATTACTTCTTTTTACGAAAGCTTATCTCTAAACGTCCGGGAACTTAGTCTCAAAAAGGAGACAAATCAGTCTCATGGTGTGATTTTCTACGAAAACTATCGAAATAGCTTTTCTTCTCATGAGAAAGATCAGAAAGAAAGTTCATTTAAGAGACAGTAATAGCAACAGCGCAAAATTTTAACAAGATAAGGTTTTTTTTCTCAGACATTTTACTTCAAAAACTGTTGAAACATGTTCTTTCGTGATATCACTAGCATATGTTATTTTTTGGCATAATGAGACTGATTTGTCTTCTTTTTGAGACTAAGTTCCCGGACGTTTAGAGATAAGCTTTCGTAAAAAGAAGTAATCTGGTTGGTGTAGAATTTGACGCTCTTTCTTATGGTACCCTTGAAAAAAAAAATACGTCTGGTTTTTATATGAAAATAAATTTTTTTTTCATAAGCTCCTTACAAAATACCTTATCTTGACTATCTTTATTTCCCTTTTCACAATTATTAATGTCTTCAAAGTTTGTTGTCAATAAATATGTGGACTATACAACTTTTAATGCTCTATCTAATGGTATAGTTTAAATCTAGTTTTATTACATTAAACAATTGGAAACCTTTTTTTTGAGCTAAAATAGGGTTATTGTGGGATATAGGTTTTCCACCCTTTCATTTCTTCGACCATAGAAAAGTTAAAGTATAGCTTATATAAGTCCATATTTTTTTCAGTAGATAACTAATTATCTCCTCTTTCGAACAGATACTGACAAGATTGTTTTTGACTTAAAAAAATGAACATTCAGGCAATACTTTTATACTCCAGAGAGGGGGGTCTTATAATTATGCAACGAGTGAAATTCAAAATTTCTTGAATCTAAATATTATTAATATTTAACCAAATAGAGATCAATGTAGCACATGATAGATGCTTTAGCGGTATCTATATATATGGCGTTAGATCCCTTATCAAAGCTTCTTTAGTTGCTGAAAACTTTATTATTCTCAAACTTGTAGGGGGGTCTTATAATTTTGGGAACCCCTGTACAATGAATTGAAAGCGAGAATTTTTTTGTTTATCCTTGCTGGTTTTCGTTTTTTTTTATAGAGATCTCGAAATTTTAGAATCATATTAGGGCGTGTAAGGTCATAAAGTTTTTATGAAAAAAAAAACTCTAAAGTCTTTTCTATCACGAAAAAAAAAACTAGCCCCATAGAGTAGAATAGAACGGAGATATTCAAATTTTTTTATTGTAAAACTATTTATGTATCATTCTGTATTTTATCAACACTTACTGCTTGCTGTTTATCTTCATCTTGTATTTGATTTACGTTGAGTATTTCAAGCAGTGTAAATAAACCACCAACATCGAGAAATTCACCAAGAAATTTATTTCCAGTTGATGATTGTAAAAAAACACGAAGTGCTCGTAATTGTTCATTAAGACATGTTCCGAATAGATAACTTATGCGTAGCCATGAAGCTAAATTTTCCAAGTAGGAACACCATTATAGATGATTACTATTAAATAATCACTTACTAATGCGAGTAAAAAATAGACTAGCAGATTGTGCAAATTCACTTTCGAGTTCAGGCTCAGTAATTGTTGAATGTAATTCAATAAAATCAAGTAAAATTTGACGACGAACTTTAGTTGAACCTATATTAAATGTTGAATTATATTAGAAAACCATATCATTGGAATATCTTTTACCTTGATCCCAACGAGAAAGTAATCGGCGAATTTGTGTAAGACTGGCTTCTTGTCGTGCGTTTGGCATCTCGTTCTATATGTTTGTATATTCAAAAATTCACGCGTTCACCATTTCTATGAATAGTTGCTAGGCAAAAGCCTTTACATTGATTTTGCTTTCTTTTTCTTTTGATCATTGTCACTGATAGTCAATCATTTTCAAATAGTAATCATCATATTTTTAGAAATGTTACAGGACAAACTTCTTCCTATTCAAATTGAACCAAATATTTGATAAAAGAAATAGAAAATTCTGAATGTATTAATACAAATTAGAGGCAGACGATTTCGATTATTAAAAATGAAAAAAAACAACGGTTCCAATTCCGGTTCCTAGAAAGTATCTTTGGAACCGGCGATCTAATAATAGTATGCCAGATTTGTTAACAGTTTTCGAAAATTAAAAATAACTTTTTAATCGAATAAAAACACTTTTTCCATGTCTCTAGCTACAGAAAAGGCTATTTTTGGAGTCTCAAATGTCATATAGGAAGCTTATCTGAAAAGTAATTGATTTGTGTGACAAAGTATAAAATCAATATTAAACAAAATTTTCTAGCATTCAACATGCAAAATACATTATGGTCATGTTTTTCGTCAAAAACTCTTATATTTTCCGGTCTTGTTATTTTTCATCAGTTAGTGTTAAAAATTTTTTTGAGAAAATTATGAAATTAAGGAAAATATATGTCGAACATAAATCACCCTACTAAAGTAGCTGAATGAAAGAGACATTTGTAAATCACTTTTTGAAAAGGTTTCATGAAATCAAATTTAATCTTACCATTTGAAACTGTTACTCTGCTTGACATGCTTCTACTGGAGCACTCAATAATTTGCTTCCGATATGTTTCTTTTCTCGAATAATACAACTCTTTTTTTAAATTAAAATTTACAACAACAAAAAATTCTAATTCATCATTCATGATGTGAATGATTACATGAATACATTAATAGGAAAGAGTTAGAAAGTGTATGACTAAATACATAGAATAATCGTGTATATAATATAATAAACATTTTTTATTCTTCTATGTAAAATCAGCTCAACAAACTTTTTCAGATGCTCACTTGTCTTTATGCATTAGTGATAGGTACGTTCTTACATTTCGTTTTGTTTAATATGGCAGGCATGAAGAAAAAAAAACGCAGAAAGAAGAGTAAATCTTTATCAACTTTTTTCTTTTTTTGTTGTCGTGAGTCGTCATGAATGAAATAATATGAAACCATCGTCGTTATTTGAAAGAAATGGCAACTAACATTGTCAAGCAAATAAATGATCAATAGATTCAACGAAATTTCTTTTCAAGACGAAAGACTTATTACATACATTAATGCAAAAAGTAAATAAAAAGATATTTGCTCTCAATGATATTTGTCCGATATATTATTTATCTTTGTGGACCAATTGAAATGTTGCTTTTCGGATTGAATCGCTGGAACTTAAATAAAA